TTTTTTTACAGTTTGTAGAATTATTATCACATCAAGTATATTACGATTTTTTAAATTTTTTATATTTAAATATTATTTAAGTAAAAAAAATTTTTCACTTAGGACAAAAAAGCTAATTCATTTCTCTGTTTTAGTAAACTTTATTTATTTATTTAATTACAATTTTAAAAAAAAGTTTAGGTTAGAATTCATTTTAATTAACTACAATTTTAATTACAAAGTTTAAAATAATTTCATTGTTAGTTTTTATAGACTATATTTCATTTTAATAGAGGTAAATGTATTAAATTACTTATAGTAATGAAGATTTTTTTTTCCATATCAAGTATATCTCTATTACGATTTTTAAATTCTTTCAAAAATGGAAGCTAAAATTATATATCTTACTGTTCTTTTATATATATATATATATATATATATATATATATATATATATATATGAAGAAATAAAATCTTAAGGTGTATTATATTTATGAGATAAAGTGCTCAATATCAGATATAGAGATTGTGTGTAAATATAAAAGTGAACATTGAAATCAACACTTAGAGGCGACAGGCTGTTTCATGCTGGACGCAATCGTCAGGCCACGTGTGACGATTGATGTCCAGCATGAAACAGTCTGTTTAATTGTTGAAAAATAAAATTTTATGATTTATATATATATATATATATATATATATATATATATATATATATATAAAAGTGATCCACAGACAGACTGTTTCGTTGTAACACAGCTCATCAGTGTTTTTAGACGTCCAGTTGCCTCTAGCTAGGATTTAAAAAGAATTGGCGTTAGTCGGAGAATATCTATCTATCTATCTATCTATCTATCTATATATATATATATATATATATATATATATATATATGTGTGTGTGTGTGTGTGTGTGTGTGTGTGTTTCATGAAAAAACTGAGAAGGCACTGCGGTTAATTTTTTATTTCATTTTTTTAGGGTTCTTATTATTTTCCCTTTTATCTGGACATAAATTATGCAAAAATAGTCCGAATATTCTGTATATCCAAGCGCCTCCGGCTATACTTTTAGCCATTATCAAGGACTTTTAATCTTTTTTTACATGTGGATGAGGTTTTATATTTGTAATATCAACGCGTGTATGTTTTCATGTGTATTTAAATGAGACCTAATTGAGCTCTGGTCAGAGAGATGTAAAGTGAGCCCTCTTGCTAAGCATGTTGTAGTACATAAAATATAATTATTTATGAATTATGAATGATCAGGAACACAGTTCCTTAAGGGACATGTCAATTCGTAAATAATATTGTTTCTCTGTATATATATGATGGACTCTCCCATCGAATTCGATGTATGAGGTTTCGACGTTTACTTTTGGTGCATTATTCCTCAATGTCAGCTAGAACAATACTCTGATCTCTTCATAGCTACCTCTTCAAAGAAATATATATATATATATATATATATATATATATATATATATATATATATATATATATATATAAAGGTTAATGGTCAGAGCTGAATAGGGCTCCATGGTTGGAACAGTAGTATTACAAATGTTCAATATACGTGAGAAAAAAATATGTAAAATGAAAATAACGTGTAGTGTCCTTTTTAAAAATCAGATATATGAATTAAAATATTCGGCCATGGTTTCGCCCTGGCTGTCTAAAATTTGTCAGGCGTTAATTTAAAAAGAAAATTCCTCATTATATATATATATATATATATATATATATATATATATATATATATATATATATATATATATATATATATATATATGATATTTTATCAAATTTTCTTAATTACACAGCGGACCTTTCAGTAAATGCCCTTCTGTTTTAGTTTCCCCCCCATTTTCTCTCCCCACCCCTTCTTTCTTTTTTCTTTTCCTGTCCCTCCCTCCCTCCCTCTTCTGATCTTTTAAGATTAGATCGTCTATTGTGTGTGTATGTCACCACAAAATGTATCCTTTCTGGTTACATCTTTAATGTATTAGACATCCGACAACATTCATATTTCTCTCACAAAAACCTCTTCAACTCACCTCTCTAAAACTTCTCTCTGTTAAGGTTTTATCTTCCACCTTCTCTCATCTGTTACCCCTCTCTTTAGCTCTAACATTCGTCCCACACTCTCATACTTACACTCTCTCTAAATTCTATTTTTATTTCCGGAGTTGTTTTTTTTTTGTTGTTTTTTGTTTTCTTTTTGAATTTGTAGGTCTGATGAATTGGATAGTATTTACGATTCCAATGGAATAAATTATGACCATGGAATATTAGTGTTAAACCTTTTTATCATATATATATATATATATATATATATATATATATATATATGTGTGTGTGTGTGTGTGTGTGAGTGTGTGTGTGAGGAGGAGGAGGAGGAGGAGGCACGGTAGTGGATAGCGACTCGGATTGAGGAATCGATGAGTCGAGTTCGAATTCCAGTCGAATCCATTACATTCACTTACGTGTTAATACATTTGGGAAAGGTTTTGATCCTCTTCTCTCTCCGGGTATTGGTAATTAGGAGGACAGACTGGGTTATAAAGCCTTGGATGTCAGCTAGGAGAAGGACAATTCTGAATTCAAAAACCTACTGGGGTTGTTTGGGGACCTTGTGGTACATACTGTATTCGGCCCTTCACAAACTGTGGTTGGTTCTGCATAAAGCTCTTCAATGTGTGTGTGTGTGTGTGTGTGTGTGTGTGTGTGTGTGTGTGTGTGTGTGTGTGTGTGTGTGCATTTAGGCAGCATATTTTCATTCAAACAGCTTTTGTTAAATAATTTAGACATATCATGTTGATTTATTTGGGTTCTGTTCCTTTCAAGTTCACAGATTTGTAACACTATTTTGGTTGCTGGTAAATAATAAGGGCTTTTGAATATCAAATACGATAGACTGATAAATACACTGCTATGAAAAGGTTTAATGAATAAGCGTCAATCGATATAGTGATAAAAAAATCGCTCCCAGAGAATTGAACAAACTCACATCTATCCAACCAAATATATATATATATATATATATATATATATATATATATATAGAGAGAGAGAGAGAGAGAGTTCGCCAAAAAATGTACACGCACTTCAGGAAAGGAAAAATGTATCTTTGGTAGTTTTATTTAATTGCGATAACACTGCTTACTATAGTACGATATGTTCTCGACAGATGGCATTACATTGGCGGTCGTTAGACACGCAATTGATAATGCATATGCAGCAATCCCAATGTTGCTCAAGCAGTAGTTCGCTGTAGTAAGAAATATCTGGAAGCGAAATGCCACCAGTTTAAGAATCTATTGTGATTGTCGAGACCAAAGGTAACTTATATTAATCTCCTGATGTCTCAATCTCTGAATTAATGTCTGAGGTGTGTATACATTTTTAACGAACTCTGTGTTATATAGAAATAAAGTGTCGTTGCCGACACAGGGGTTTGAACATAGATCGCCAGAAAGCAAACACAGGCGATCCCATTTTGAATAAGTAGATCACGTGTTCATAAAGAAAAAACATAAATCGGAAGTATCGTGACATCTAAACGATCACCATTTCTATTCTATCCTATATTACTATACGGATCACTCTTTATACACTATCCTATATCTCTATACTGTTCACTATACTATTTCTCTATACTGATCACTATACGGATTACTATTCGGATCACTATCCGATGGTTACTTTTCGAGCGTGTATTATCGAGCAAGTACTATTAATGCGAGTGTTATTCGATAGGCGTCTGGCACTAGCATTGTTCTATAAAAAAAGAGCAATAAGAGGATAGATATATAAAGTTAAAATGACTTATCTTCTGGCTTTAAGGTTCGCAGAGACACTGCTAGGCTTGTCAAGATAAGATAAGTCTATTGAATTCATTAACAGTTATCATATTTATCAGTCACTATTTAACTTATTTTAAATACGTTACATTTGTTAAAGTATTTCAATTAAATATTATAAACAATTATTATGATAGCTGCCAATGAATTCCGTAGATTTTTCTTACATAGACAAACAGAACGGTGTCTCTGCGAGACTTTAAATCGGAAGATAAGTCTTTTAAACTTTTATTTATCTCTTCACGGTGGAGGAATGGATAGCGGCTCGGATTAAGGAATCAGAGAACCGAGTTCGAATTCCAATCGAATCCGCTACATTCACTTACGTACTAATACCCTTGGGAAAGGTATCGATCCTCTTCTTCTCCTCCCCCGCCCGCTATGAGTAAATAGCAGGACAGACTGGGTTCTATAGCCTTGGATGGCAACTGATCTACCGCAGAAAGAAATGGCAACCTACTGCGGGAAAAAAATCTGCCTCGTCAGTCATGTATCGAAAGATACATGATCGCCTAAGCGTGTATCACGCATGGTATTTAACTGACTGACTGACTTGTTATTAGTAAATATACGTGGGAATGCAGAAAGGTATCCGGTTCGACCCATTTCCATTCTCAGATATCATAAAAATAGTCGTTTCGTTGTACCATTTTAGAAAGCACCTGACTCCCTCTACTATGCTCTTTACAAGAGAAAGATCGGACAAAAAGAAAATTATGTTGCCATATCTAGGTTAGAAATGACTAGTCTTCATTTTCCCGCTTTGACAGAGCTTCATAAGCGTCTTCGATGCCTTGTGGGTGATGAATTATTTTCCACTCCACCACCTCTTTCTCGCTACTCTGTTGCTATTTCTATATCAAATGTTATGGCCAGCTACGTTCCTTAGTTCCACCAGTTCAGACCTTTACAGCTAAGGTCTGTCAAGCCACTTACACAAGTGTGAATCATTCACATTCCTTTCGTTATCCATTCGTAAGAAACAATTCCAATCGACAGCTTCTTCCCAAGAACCGTTACTTTGTGGAACGGACTCCCAAGAGGATGCTTTCCGATCACTCCGATCTTAACCTCTTCAAGTCTAACGTTAACCGTTATCTTTCCTACATATCCTCACAAATGTCGCTTCTTCTCCTTTCCATTTATGTTCATAAGGTTTATGGCTCTATCACGCTGAAACACCAATTCTCATACGATCACCAAAGTTAAGCAATGTGGAGCCTGGTTAGTACCTGGATGGGTGACCGCTTAGCAAGACTAAGTGCTGGATGTTTGGGTGGTGTAATGGATAACGACTTGGAATTGAAAATCGGAGAGCCGAGTTCTAATTCCAGTCGAGTTCGTTATATTCACACAAATACTCTTGGGAAAGGTATGAATCCAACTCTTCTCCCCCCGCTATGGGTTAATTAATAGGACTCGTATCCTTATCTCCAGAAAATTCTCATAATCTGAAAATATTTTCTGATTTGAAGTAACCTGCAAAAAGGTTGATAAACCGTAAAAATCAAATCAATAAATCAATTACGTTCATACAGCAACCACATTCAGTAAACCTTTATTTTGAGAGGCCCTTGGGATTTGTATTCAGTGAGCAGTTAGTTTAAAAATGATTTAGAGAAGTGGTCACTTTCTGGGAGCGTATCTTCTTGCGATACTGTAAATACCATTTGGTTGTCTTTTTATTATGTTCCTGAAATAAATTCTAATTCATCAAGAAATGTCTCAACTTACACATATTCCTCTGGTGTAGGAGCGCTGGTCTCCAAGCGACGAATCAAACTTCAGAATTAGAGTTGCTTTACTGAAAACATGACTCGGAAGGGTGCTAGTGCAATGGTATTTTTTTATTTATTTATTTTTTGTTTTTTTTAGGTGTGAGGGCATCACAACTTCACATGAGCTCTTTTGTTGCGGTCGGCTACTGTAAAAATAACAATTGTAAGCCGATCAGATTACAAAAATCAGAGAATGCCATATTTTTTTTTTTCTAGTGCAACGAAGGTGGTGCTCTCTAAAGATGGATCCTTGGCCTCTGGTATATTTTCTTCAGGGGCGCCGAGGACAAAAGCTGTTATTGTTTTTGAATCTTTCTCTGTGTTTGCATGTGTACCTGTATGCGTGATCATGCGCACGCTTGCGCAGTACAGCGGAAGTTGAAGTGGGAATGGGTGGGAAAAGGATCTCCTCGCCTACATTAATCAGCCCGGCAAATGGCCGTCAGTGAAAGGGAGGGCAAACGATTCTCGTTTGTCGCTCACCTCCTTACCGTGGGTTATCGGACGTTGCTGTTTGCAGTTGCTCCTACAACGCCATTGGCGTCAAACCAATTAGGCAAATTGATACGAGCCGCCGTTTTCTTTCACTTCAGCCACAGGAACACATGCGTACACACGCACACAACAGGGTTTAGTTTTTCTTGACTCCGTCTGCTGCTTTTTCGTCTGCTTTTGAGAGTTTTTTTTCTACTTGGACGCCATATTGAATTCTGTAGTTTTATGTCTTAATTTGACTAATTTTCTTTTTGCTTTTTTTTTTTAAATAAAAAATAACAATTTTCATTTTTTTTCTGTTTATTAATTTAATTCTTTTTCACTTAAATTTTTCTTGCAGATATTTTTTTTTTGCTTAAAAAATTAATTCTTATTATTCTTTCTTTCTTTCTTTTATTATTTGATTTTTGCTTTAACGAACCAGCACCTTTTCTTGTTTTTTTTTTCATCTTATATAACTTCCCCACCAACACATTTTTTTTTTACCCAGGCTGTCCAAAAATGCAGGCCTCTACCCTTCATGCTTCAGCGATCAATTGTGTCATAGATTCTTCGGCTAAATGATGGAAAGGAGAAAATGTATTAACAAGTATGAACGACCTTCTCATTTTCATGCTTTTGCGAAATATTTCTATGCAGATGGGTGGGATATAAAACAGTGTAGTATACACCGAGCGTTCACCACTTGATTTGTTTTGTTTATAAAGAGACTTTAGATATTCAGCAGTATCAGCAGAGGACCAAATTTTATGCCTCGAGACCCAATATTATTATGGCCTATAATCGATAGAATTGACACAGATTTCTTAACTCAGCCTAAGTGCTGTTCGGATAACTGAACTCATTTTTTTTTTGCCTGTTCTGTTATTTAAGCAAATCCATTCCCTAGCTTTATTCAAAAGCAGTAAGGAAATTGAAGAGTTTCTTTTTCTTGCAGCCATTGTTCATCGCTGTTTTGTTCTTTCGATTTTTTAAGTGATTTTAATAAATATTGAACCTCGACTTAAAGCGGTTAAACTTGTAGCGATCGAAGAAGCATCCACTTGGGAGTTTGTTTTATAAATTAGCTGTTCTTAGAAAGAAAACAATTTTTTCGCTACATATTTTCTTTCGGTCTACTTTGCTACCTTTCTTCCTTTGAAACCTTTTCTTTTGCTCTTTCTTTCTTCTACGTTTTCTAACTTGTGCTTCCTTCTTTCTTTTTACTTTTCTTTCCTTCCTTTCTTCCTTCCTAACATTCTTTCATTTTATTTCTTCTTAGGAAGAAAACAATTATTTTTCGCTACATATTCTCTTTCGTTCTTTTTTCCTTCTTTCCTTTCAAACGTTTCCTTCCATTCCTTCTTTCTTTCTTTCTTTCTTTCTTCTACTTTGTCTAACTTTTGCTTCTTTCCTTCTTTCTTTTACTTTTACATTTCCTTCCTTTCTTTCTTCCATTTTCCCTTTCTTTCATTTACTTTTCCTTTCTTCCTAACATTCTTTCATTTTATTTTTCTTATTTCTTTATTTATTCACGTTTCCTTCCTTCCTTCCTTTGTACGTTCCTTTCTTTTTTTCTTCCTTTCTTGTTTCATTTTTCTTTCTTCTTTCCTTCCTTCCTTACTTCCTTCCTTTGTTCGTTCCTTTCTTTTTTCTTCCTTTCTTTGTTTCATTTTTTTCTTTCTTCTTTCCTTCCTTCCATCCATCCATTCTCTCCTTTCTTTTTTTATTCCACTTTTTCATCCTTCTTTTTCCTTCCTTTCAACTTTACATTTTTTTCTTTCATTTCCTTGTTTATTCCCTCTTTTTCTACCACCATCCACCTTCCTTCCTTCCCATAGCTCTCCTACCCACGTTTCCCACTTTTTTTCACGTTGCCCCGATTTACTTTACCACTTTCTGTTTATTCCAAGTTCCACAATTGTTTATTTTGTCGGCTGTCGACAGAGGGACTGATTCACTCCAGAATGGGGCGGACTTCTCCCCCAATACAACCCCACCCGATAACTTACGTTTTCACGTCACAACACACGCGCATGCGAATAGATTAGCACACACTCATACAAATACAGATGCTTAACTCATGCACATATTTAGTTGTTCAACACAAAATAGCCGACTTTCTCTTTAGCTTGTCAGTTATACTGCCTGTTCAAAAATATTAACATTTTTTATTTGATATTTTCTTTTCAACCGTCTGTTTACGTAATCTGTGACACTATAAGTTGAATAGCCATACCATAATATCAGCGCTAGGATTTATTAATCAAATACGTCAAGTCATTCCATTCGTTCCAAGGACTGCGTGTAGTTTAACAGAAATTCTGGCAGTAGGGGGCAAAATAAAACAAGAATCACGATTGAATTTTAGTGTCAACTGCATTTAAATGCAAAAAAAAGAAAAAAAAAAAAAAGTAAAGGCTTCCGGGCAACCATGGACATTCGTGCACGCAAAAAAAGCGGGTTGTCAAAAGGACGGTTTTTCTGTTGGTACCGCTATTATTTTAACTACCTTCACTCCTCCGCAATGTTTATTGTTATAAAAAGCGATGTTTAGAATTGTAATATGACTTAAACATATGATAAAAGTGAATTTATACTTTCTTTTTGTTCTTGAGAATATAAAAGAAAAATATTAAACGTTATTTGTTGATTAAGTTTTTTGTTTACATGAATAATTTTGCATTTACAACATTCTAAAAAATAATGCAATTAAAACTAATGCAATATTTATCATTTAACATTTTTAAAAGAGATCAATGTTCAAAACATTTTTTTATTCACAAATTTATAAATATCTACTAAATTATTAAAATATGTGAACCAATTATAAGGAAAATTCTTATAATTTTGGATTTTATAAAGTTCGAATTAATTGGCAATTTGCTAATGTTTTTCCAAACCTTCCAATAGACAATCTAATAAATAAATAGATTTTATTATTTTTGTTGTTACTTCCCAAGAACAAAGAAATGTAAAAATTCACTTTCATTTGTTTAGGTTTTATTACCATTTTAAACATGGATTTTTAAAGCAATAAACATTACAGGGGAGTGGCAGAAGTTAAAATAATAGCGATGTCAATGGAAAAATCGCCCAATGTTTTTTGTTTGTTTTTGCGAGCACGAAGGTCCAAGTTTGCTAGCTTTCTGGTACGTTTTATCTATCTAATGCTACCCTACTCCAATATGCTGCCATTTTTAGGTTTACTTATTTTTGGCGCAATAATCCTAAATGTTATCTTACATTTCCGTTTTTATTTATCAAATTTATTCATTAAAATAAATGAAATAATTATCATTTATTCAATTATCTATTCACCATTATTTGCATTGATTTCGATCTTTCTTTTTTTTTCCCAGTAAAATTCCGCGGTGAAGTGAAATCGTTTTCGACGAAATATTAAGAATGTTTTCCCTGCAAAAGCGTTTGCGGCGGTCGAAGAAAAAGTAAGAATCGGTTGGTGAAACATTAAGGGATTATTGTGCGTGGGTTAGAACAAGCCAATCGAACTTCAAAAGGTTTCCTTTTCTATTCTTGCTTGTGTTGACATGGAAGGGAGGAGTTTTGCTACTGACGAGCGCATGGTGTTATTTCAGTCATATTCTTATGGACACGTTGCAGCTGCTGGACATATAAACATGCATTTAGAATTTCATGGTATTTTCAGAATAGTAAATAACGCTTCCACCTCTAGCACATTACCTTTCTTCCATAGGTCTCAGTCTTTGGCGTCGAGTGTGGAGATTTATTCTTGTCAATCTATCGTTTTTTTGTGTTTGTTAATTAGTGTACACCAAATTTATTCTTAACTACCACATATGATTAGAAGTTAGGATGATATAGTCTCCATAACAATTACGTGAGTAAGTAAAAAAATTATCCGAATTTTCGCCATAGCATATCTTTAGATTTATCACACTACCTTCTGCTGATGCGTGCTTATAGTTGGTACTATTGTGGTCACGTGATCGAAACTTGAGCTTGATCGGGCCAGTTTTCTTGCCACTGTTACAGT